CTGTGCCTTCCAGTCCCCCTGTACTGTGCCCTCCATCCCCCCTGTACTGTGCCCTCCACCCCCCTGTACTTTTTGCTCCTTCCCCCTGTACTGTACCCTCCATCTCCCTGTAATTTTCCCTCCTTCCCCCTGCATTGTGCCCTCCACCCCCGTGTGCTCTGCCTTCCAGCCCCCCAGCACTGTGCCCTCCATCACCCCTGTGCTGTGCCTTCCAGCCCCCCTGTACTGTGCCCTCCTGTTGACCCCCCACCCCATCCTTACCGTGTCCTTTGTGTCGATTAGGTGTTGATTTATGCCATGTATTCTTATTATTAGTTAAGATCAATTTTATTGAAAGTACTTATAAAGATGTGTTTAATTCTATCAACTATTTATTCTTTTGAATGTACAGTAGGTGCGCAAATTGTGGCAGGCTGGTAGGGGCCCCAGTGCATTACTTTGCTCAGGGACCCATGATGCTATTAGAACAGCCCTGCCTGGGGTGCTGCAAGCACTGGACCAAGTTTGCCCTGGATCAGCATCATGAGTTGCCAAGTTGCGAGTGGGCTGGCCACCAACGCCATAATGCCCAAAGATGCTCTAGAACAGGATGCATGAAATAATTTGTTGTTGTGGTGTTGGTGGCTATCTCTCCCACACCATGGTTGATCATGGCACTGATCTAGGGTTGAAGACATGCAGTGCCTCCTCAAGCATTTGGAAGAAGATGGAAATCTGGGTCCTCCAGACCTCCTCCATCTTCAACTCTACTCGAGTCAAAGGGTCCGGCCCTGAACAGGGAAGTGTGTGATAGGGGTGCTCAATGATTTAGAAGGGCTTTGTGATGAGAGGGCTCTGTGATTTGGGGGGGCTTTGTGATGGGGGACTCAATGTGATAAGTAGACTCAATGATTTGAGGATATTCTCTTGACACCGTACCGCTAAAGGATTTCAGAGGAGTAGAATAAATAATCTCAAGTAGTGCCTATCATTGCTCTCCTGGACTGGATGTATAAATCCTTGTGATGAGAGGGCTCTGTGATTTGGGGGGGCTTTGTGATGGGGGACTCCAATGTGATAAGTAGACTCAATGCTTTGAGGATATTCTCTTGACAACGTACCGCTAAAGGATTTCAGAGGAGTAGAATAAATAATCTCAAGTAGTGCCTATCATTGCTCTCCTGGATTGGATGTATAAACCGATGGGGCCCTCTAAGATTGGGGAAATTTGCAGCTATATAACTAGCATAAAACAAAAAGGGCGCAAACAGCACTTTATTTAAGGAAAACACAGTACATATTCCCGAGAGCAAAGGATGTTACAGCTTTCTATTAAACTAGGGACCAAAGTTTCTTGCATACAATGGAAACTCTTCTGTTTTCAAATGCACATCCAATGACCAGCTGAAGCATTTTGGGGGTCACGCATGCTTTCACATTTTGCTCTGAGGAAAGGGGGGTGCCCTTGAACCATATTAGCTTGTCATTTGATGTGCATTTTATCCAGAAAAGTTTCCATTTTATGCAAGGACCTTTTGGCCCCTGATTTTAGTACAATACTATTACAACCTTTGCTGTTGTTGGTACAGTATGTACTATTTTTTCCTTAAATAAAGTACTATTTATAATGCACTAGGCATTTGAATCCTTTTTGTTTTATTCAGTTTATTATTCAATGATGAGGGGGTCTGATGTGATGGGGGGATCTGACATGATGGGGGAACTCTGACATATAAGGTTCACTACAATATGTTCAATTTCTGGCTTGGGGTTGAATAACGCTTTAACAGAATAGTTTAAATAATTTAATAAATGAAGATGGCATAAGCAAAAGAGATTAGACCCTAAGCCCCCTGTTCACAGGATGCGACTTGTCATGCAATTTGAGAGTTCAAATCGCATGATAAGTCGCACCCTACAATTGGCAATGGAAGTTCTACCGGAGTCTCACCAATTTGAAAAGTAGTTCCTGCACTACTTTTGACAATTTCTAGTGCAACTTGCATAGACATCTGTGCATGAATTTGTACAGATGTCTTACAAGTCACACCTGAAGTTGCACAGACATGCGACTTTGAGATTGTGCGACTTCAAGTTGCACGATTTCAAAGTCAAGTGTGAACAAGGGCTTAACCTAATATTTTGCACCGTGTGCACTCAAGTGTTAGTACTCTGTCAATGCTGAATGTTTAAAATGAAGTTTTACCTCAATTTCTTCCCCTTCCCCAGGCCCCTCCCACACTCCTTTATTGGATGCCACGGAAAGCTGACCAGGAACCTCCTGGGCAGGACTCTTTCTAAAACAAAGGTGTGTGAGGACATCTAGTGGTGCCTAAGAGAATTATAATATAAATCTGACTATGTGAATAACAAAGGCCCTACCCCCTGTTACAATACTAATTACAGAAAACACTTGATTGAAATATTAATATCCATTATTTAATTACTTTCTTTGCTTTACTCATTTATATTCCAAAGGCATACAGATATACACAAGAAGATTGCTTTTAATTCCATTAGTTTTCAGGAAAAATTAAGCATTGTTTCAGTGAGCTGCAAAGGTACCAATTAATTTGTCCATGTTAGTAGGTCACCTTTAAAGTGTTACTAAACCCGGACCCTGCATTGACTATATCTGGTCTCTCACAGTACACAGAACATGGAAATGCAATTATTTTTAGTAAATATAAACTGCTAAATACCTTTTCTCATCAGCAGTTAGAACAGTCTTGTGACTTTTATCAGTGTCCAACAGAGCACTGGTTAAAGCTTGTAGGAGGAGTTTTCTTTCTGCTCTAGGAGGATGCAGAACCCCTAACGTCTGTCTGGACAGTGCTGATTGTGCTGATCACATGTACTCTCCCAAGAAAGTAAAAACCCTCTTTAGCAGTACACACCAAACTGAGCATGTGCAGAGTGACTCCACACGAAATGTCTTATCAGGAGATAAAAGGGGGGCACCTGAGGAAGGGAAGGATCAGAACAGTCAGGATAAAACAGAGGATTAACCCCTTAGGCTCCACAGTGAGTAAAACAAGCATGCATCGCTGCATATACAGACTGATTTTACTGTTGTTGGTTTAGTAACACCTTAATTATTTCCATACGTGATTTTTGAAATCTGTTGAAAACCATCTAAATTGGAATTGCAGATGTTTTTATTCTCTTGAATATATGGCATGAAAATGCATATAGTAAACCATACCAGAATGAAACAGATGAATCCGTAGTTGTCCTGATTTAATCATCATTACACAAACTGTCACAATGTCATTGCCCATAGCACAGGAACAGGGGCGGACTGACAACTCATGGGGCCCCCGGGCAATAGGGATCATGGGGCCCCTGTGTCCTTGCCCAAACTCAAAAAAGCCTATGAAAAAGGTACCAGGAGCATCTCATGGGGCCCCCTACTGACCCCCGGCCCTCGGGCAGTGCCCGGGTTTCCAAACGGTCAGTCCGCCCCTGCACAGGAACAGTAAGCAGGCTCAGCTGAGAACTGTAGGAGGTGCATTTATAAACAATTCTCATAGCGGTTCATCATTTGAAATTGAATGTAATTAATTTTGTGCAAATGGAGCAAAATCAACTGTTTTCAAGCTATATTATCTGGATTATTTCCTATGATAGCCAGCACCATCTAGTGGCCATAATGCAGTATTTTCCACTTTCTCCCATTCAAACTGCAAAGAATCTCTCCTGAGAACGTTTTTGCCCCATTCACACAAAATGGACGTGCAATTTGTATGAATGAACAGCTATACATTTTTTAACAATAAATAGACCTTTAGGATTTCTGCTTATGCTGCAGCCAGACAGCCCTGATTCTCTGTCACTGAATCACTGAACAGTATTATAGCACTGTTTTTACTGTTCAGTAACCACATGGATTTACAAAGGTCTAGACATTTTGTTATGAAGATCCTCATTTCTAACTCAATGCATATCATCAGCTATATTTTTACATTCATTTATAAGGTGCCAAAATTGCACACAGAAGAGCTAAAGCCGATCATAGAAACCTGATAATGAAAAGTCTAAGAACTAGAGGTTTTCACCACCATAATCCATTATGTCCAACAGATATGCACTAGGTCGAGTACTGTCGCTACTCTTGTAGTTAATGGGAGCAGCGCTTCTTATCCATTTCTCTTTATTATGAAGAATAAAAAGAGCAGCATGTCATTCTTACCTAAATAATACTAGCCTGGCACAACACGAGCTTGGCCGGTATCCTATGCTTTTTTTCTTACTTCTTTTGATTCAATTTTAAACGTTTTTTATTACATTAGTACAAAAATAAAAACATTAAGCCTAAAAAAAGAACATGAGAGAAACAATATTCTTTGTTTAATTAAATTGGTTGTAAACCTTAGACATAAAATATGAACAAAACATATCCCATGATAGTGTGTACTTGCCTGAATTAACCACTTCAAGTCCGGACACTTTTACCCCCTTCCTGTCCAGGCCAATTTTCAGCTTTCAGTGCTATCACACTATGACTGGCAATTGCGTGGTTATGCAACACTGTACCCATATGAATTTTTTAGCATTTTTTTTAGACAGATAAAACTTTATTTTGGTGGTATTTATTCACCACCGGGATTTTTTTATTTTTTGCTATATACATGAAAAAGTCCAAAAATTTTGAAAGAAAGTGTTTTTCTTAAAATTTTGCAAATAAATAATCTTTCTTAATAAATCTTGGCCAAAATGTATTCAGCTATCTTTTTAGTTAAAAAAAAATAACTCAAATTAGTTTATAACCAAAAATTATAATATTTCCAAATTTTGTTTTACATTTTTATTTTATTTTTTGTATATTATTATTTATGTTTTTTTTAACATACTGTCACCCTAGCAGTACAGTGTCACCATAGTGTACCATAGTGACAATGTACTACTTGTGGGAGGTGATGAAGATTTTTCTACACTGATTGCTTTTACACATATAAAGACTTTAAAAGCAATCATTTCTCCTTCTCTCTGGCTGCATTCTTGCAGCCATTGAGAATTACTGTGAGAGCTGTGAATGGTCACAGCTTGTCACATGGTACAAGGCTGTTGTGAATAGCCTTGTGCCATGTGATCTCTGTGATAATTCACAGATTTCACAAGTTGAAAGCAATGATGTCAGAAGTGACATCTTGCTTACTACTATTCATGTGATCACTGATTGGCCAATCTGTGATCACATAATCGGACCTCACACAGAGCAGGCACCGGACACAGCGGGCACCGGATTGCTGTGCCGCATGCTCCCAGGGAGCGCACACAGACTGAAAATGCGGACGACGTTTATGAACGGCAAACCGCTCTTGCACTACTCCCATCCAGCTGTTTATAAACATGGGCCAGACGGGAACTGGTTAAGAACATTAAGGGGGAGATTTACTAAAGCTGGTTCACTCAGAATCTGGTGCAGCTAAGCATGGTAGCCAGTCAACTTCTAACCACAGCTTGTTCAATTAAGATTTGACAATAAAACCTGGACGCTAATTGGTTTTTATGCTGAAGTGAACCTGATTTTGCACTCTCCAGCTCTAGTAAATAAACCCCTAAGTGTCATTTCTGCCTGCTGCTTTGTTCCTCTGCTATCTGCATGAATCGCTTCTGACAAGTTTTCCTGACACCAAGAGAAAAATAGTGACAGGGGAGGGGCCTCCAGCAGATTGACAGCCTCAACTCAGTTCCTGTGTGCTGTGTAGAGGAGGTGTGTTCCTTCCCTCCAATCAGCTCTCAGAGCTCTCCTCAGTGAGCTCTGCAGAGTGTAACTTCAGCTCTCCTCCCCCTTTTTTTTCTGAACTCTCTGACAAGCTTCACAAATTCAGCACTTTGAACACATGTAGAGATGACTGAAGATAAACAGGTGCATGTTATGTAGGAGGATTTGTTTCACCTGAGGCCAGTCACTTCAGTACAATCACTTTAATTAGTCCAGTTAAACCACTTGCTAGTTATACCAAGATCAAAGCTGCAGCCATGATTTTGTGTCATTTTTTACAGCCAGCCAATCATTTTTATAGTGCTGAGAAAGGCCACCCCCACAATCCTGCCATCAGCTGGGATTGATGAACACAGAAGAGATGGAGGAACATCTGTTCTTCCATCTCCTCTGTGCCAAATGAAGGCAGAAGGGATGATGATTTAGTCTCTTCCAGTTTCAGAGCTGTAATTTCCTGGCAGTTACAGCCAAGGAAGCAGCTAGTCTGAGCTAAGCCTGTGGGGGGGAGAGTTTGGGGGCCTAATAGATCCCTGTTGTTTCCATAAAGAGTACCTTTCACCCACCCAAAGCTTTCATATAGGGGGCTTGTTAGCAAAGGGACACTGGAGTTGCATGACGTTGCTCATAAATGGCCAGCAATTTCTATTGCTGGATGACCACAGACAGATATCAAACATGGTGTTATGCTTGTATCAAGGTTTATGTTTTTTTATTGTTCATCAAGTAATTCAAGGGTGAACCTCCTCTTTAATTATATCAATACCGGACACTTTCCCCCTCTTCCTGCTCAGGCCAATTTTCAGCTTTCAGCGCTGTCACACTTTGAATGACAATTGGGCGGTCTATACTGTACTCATATTAAATTGTACTCATTTTTTTCACACAAATAAAACTTTCTTTCAGTGGTATTTAATCACCTCTGGGTTTTTTTAATTTTTGCTAAATACATGGAAAAAGACTGAAAAATTTGATTTTGTTGTTTTTTTATTTGTTTCAATTATAAAATTATGCAAATAAACAATCTTACTTCATAAATGTAGGCCAAACTGTATTCTGCTACATTTCTTTGGTGAAAAAAAAAACAAATCAGTGTATAATATTTATCTGTAGGAAAGTTATAGAGTCCACAAACTATGGAATATATCTGAAAATTGATTGATCCTGATGTACTGACGGCCGATCTCATTTCCATAGGCCCAGCAACACCAGAACGGTGCAAATGACCCCTTTTTGGAAAGTAGACAGTCCAAGGTATTTAGTAAGAGGTGTGGCGAGTTTTTGGTAGTTGTAGTTTTTTGTCACAATATTTTTAAAATAAAGATTTTTTTCACTTTTTTTTTTTTTTTACAAACTGTCACCAAGCAGTACAGTGTCATAATATGATAATTCATATATAGTTTTTTTAAATAATTATTTTTATTTATTATATATATATTTTTTTTTTTTTTTCATGATTTTATTTTTAACACTGTGACCAGAACAATATAAGGTTACCATAGCAGTACTCTCAGTAAATTTCACTGGTATAAGCAACCATTTTTACTGAATAAAATTGGTTAATTCAGTGTTTACTACTGTGGTTAGCTGTGATTGGCCACAGCTAATCACATGATACAGATGGGGCGTGATTGACCCTGTCTGTACCATTTGATCACTTTGACCAATCACAGAGATCAACACAATAGTACACAATGGATGGCATGAATGAAAGCCTTCCATTGTGTACAATTGTCATGTGATATGCTGTGATTGGTCACAGCGATTACATGGTACCAGCACTGGTGGTTCTGGCGGATGTCAGATCTTGCCACAGTGCTGTCCATGGGGCATGCATGAGACGTGCTCTGGGAGGACATCATTTGACATCCACCCAGAATGATGAATGTCCTACCCGGCCAACATTTTAAGTGGTTAAAGGAACTCTAAATGTGTGTGTGATAGATAGATGATAGATAGATAGATAGATAGATAGATAGATAGATAGATAGATAGATAGATAGATAGATAGATACACATAGTGCTCAGCATAAATGAGTACACCCCTTTTGAAAAGTAAAATTTTAATCAATATCTCGAACACAAGAACAATTTCCAAAATTTTGACAAAACTGAGTTTTATAGAGCATTTGTTTAGCTCATTACATGAAAGTAAGGTTAATGATATAACTTAGATTACAAAATCTTCAGTTTTACTCAAATGTGATGCAAAAATGAATGCACCCCACAACAAAAACTACTCCATCTAGTATTTTGTATGACCTCCATGATTTCTAAGGACAACATCAAGTCTTCTAGGCATGGAATGAACAAGTTGGCAACATATTGCAATATCTATCTTTTTCCATTCTTCAAGAACGACCCCTTTTAGAGCCTGGATGCTGGATGGAGAGCGATGCTCAGCTTGTCTCTTCAGAATTCCCCATAGATGTTTGGGTTCAGATCAGGAGACATACTTGGCCACTGAATCACTTTCACCCTGTTCTTCTTCAGAAATGCAAGAGTGGCCTTAGGTGAGTGTTTTGGATCATTGTCATGTTAGAAAACTGCATGACAACCAAGGGCACGGAGTGATGGTAGCATCTTCTCTTTCAATATAGAGCAGTACATCTGTGAATTCATGATACCATCAATTACATGCAGCTCAGGGACACTGCCACCACCATGTTTCACTGTAGGCACCATGCATTTTTCTTTGTACTCCTCACCTTTGTGACACCATACAGTTTTGAAGCCATCTGTTCCAAAAACATTTATCTTGGTCTCATCACTCCAGAGTATAGAGTCCCAGTAGTCTTTTTCAGCATGGGCCCTGGCAAATTGTAGGTGGGCTTTTTTGTGCATGGGCTTTAGAAGAGGCTTCCTACGCGGACGACACCCATGCATGCTGTTCCTCTGCAGTGTACACCGTATTGTGCCAAACAAATCACCCCAGTTTGGCTTTCTACTTCTACTTTAGCTAATTGCAGTGAACTTGCATGGCGATTTTCTTCAACCCTTCTCATCAGCAAATGCTCCTGACTAGGTGTTAACTTCTGTGGACAGCCTGGACGTCTCTGTGAGATGGTTGCAGTTCCATCTTTGTTACATTTTTGTATCACTTTTGCTACAGTATTCTGACTGATAAGTAAAGCTTCGCTGATCTTCTTGTAGCCTTCACCTTTCTTGTGTAAAGAAATTATTTTCTTTCTGAGGTCTTGTGACATTTCTCTTCCATGTGGTGCCATTGCTGACAGCATGAAATGGGAAGTGGTTTTCTTTGTTAAGTAACATCCTTTTATAATCAACTCTCTGCTGGACACCTGTTTAGTGAATAATTAGACTCACCTGTAGTTGAATTCTTGTTAATTAGGATTTTGTTGTCTACAATTTAGCTTTGCGCCTAAGACTTTTATTGGGCTATATTCATTTTTGCAACATGGTCTTGAATGAATTTGTTGGGGGAAAAAACCTTTTGTATGTGCAAATTAAAAAATCTTGTTTGCAATCAATGGCCTGCATTTGTGGGAGTATTTGGTAGTATAGCATCCCATAGAAAATGTTGATTCTGAAAGGATAGTAAAGGTTTTCTGAAAAATCTCTATGGGTGTACTCATTTATGCTGATCACTTTATATATACACTGTACATTCCTCTTTGTTTTTGTTAATAGTACTTTTGTTGGTTTCATTCAGCCTGTAGATGGAGACAACACATCTTGTTTTTTTTGTTTTCTTTTTTTTTACCAGTTACAGGTGCTTGGCAGATGTTTAAAATATGGCGATAAAGGAGAATTTCTTGATTTGTACCTTTCTAACAGCTGGAAACTGAATAATAAACATGAGATTGTTATGCAGAATAAGTTAAAGGACTAGAAACGGTAATAACAGTGTTGTATTGGTTGTTCAAAGAGCACTAAAATCGAAGAGTGGTTACTGGTGTTAAAATCAGTTGCATATAAAATCAGTGCATATAATCTATATTTAATGTATGTGTATATATATATATATATATATATATATATATATATATATATATATATATAGGATAGAGGTACCCGGGGCAGCACGATGGTTCAAGGCTAGGCTTACACTGTGTGCAGTTCTGCCTGAAAGATAGCCATGCATGTGTGAGAAGACATCCTCTACAGCTTTGAGATTTCAGTTCTCTGCTTTAAGTTTTCTTTCTTTTTTAAGTGGAACTTTATCAACCAACACAAACTATTGTAATCCTTATGATGGTAGCATTAGTAAATAGATAGAAAGGTATATTATAGCTGCTTGTTTTAAATGGGAGGAGGGGCTTTCTCAGCTAAGCACCCATCTGCCTGCCTGAGCTAGAGGCAGATGGATTCCAGAAAGTAAATGCTACATTAATCTTCTGCTCTTACTCAACATGACCTTAGCCAGATAGAAGTGCTAGGTGATCTTTTTCAAAGTAATTTCTCAACAACATAAAGCATTGCGACCAGAGGCGGACTGACAACTCATGGGGCCCCCGGGCAATAGGGGATCATGGGGCCCCTGTGCCCATGCCTAAAGTCAAAAAAGCCTATGAAAAAGATACCAGGGGCATCTCATGGGGCCCCCTACTGACCCCGGGCCCTCGGGCAGTGCCCGAGTTTCCAAATGGTCAGTCTGCCCCCTGATTGCGACATGGAAGGATGGGGGGAG